CTTTGCTTTAAGTCACTCTTAAATATGTATATATGGTTGAGAAGTGTCCGGAGAGAAACACCTATTGAGTTTTTCATTCCCAGAACTTCCTCCCATACCAAGCCAGGCCAGAGGATAAACACAGCAAGCAGAAGGAATAATAATAAGGAACTAAAGGGCCGGGCGTGGTGGCTCACACCTATAATCCTAGCACTTTGGGAGGCCGAGGTGGGTGGATCACCTGAGGTCAGGAGTTTGAGACCAGCTCCATCAACATGGTGAAACCTTGTCTCCACCAAAAATACAAAAATTAGCTGGGCATGTTGGTGGGTGCCTATAATCCCAGCTACTCGGGAGGCTGAGGCAGGAGAATCGCTGGAATCCGGGAGGCAGAGGCTGCAGTGAGCCGAGATTGAACAACTGCACTGCAGCCTGGGTGACAGAGCCAGACTCTGTATCAAAAAAAAAGAAAAAAGAAAAAAAGAATGAAAGGAGCCACCACCAACACTCTGACCTAGAGGAAAAGGGGAGACGCTCATCTCAGAAGGGGGCCCACGTGCTGTTTAACTTCAGGGTCAGCCGCCCAGCCGAGGCTTACTCCGCGCTGGCTTGGGAATTTGAAATGTTGCAGTGAAAACCCATTCATCCTCAACAGAGAGGAGGAGGGACCCCCTGAGGATAAAGGATGGAGCACACACCCTTGGGATTCCTAGAGGGAGGCCTTCCCACCCTAAAAATGCTCTGAACAGTGAAGGGACCTACGTTGGGACCAAACTGGACAATAAAACTGATTTGAGCTGGGCACGATGCAATGGCTCAAGCCTGTCATCATCCCAGCACTTTGGGAGGCCGAGGCAGGCGGATCACTTGACGTCAGGAGTTTGAGACCTGCCTGGCCAACATGGTAAAACTCTCTCTCTACTAAAAATATAAAAATTAGCCTGGCTTGGTGGCAGGCGCCTGTAGTCCCAGCTACTCAGGAGGCTGAAGCAGGAGAATCGCTTGAACCCGGGAGACAGAGGTTGCAGTGAGCCAGATTGCGCTACTGCACTCCAGCCTGGGTGACAGAGCCAGACTCCGTCTCAAACAAAAATAAAAATACATAAACAAACAAACAAATAAATAAATAAATAAAAACTGTGATTTCCCCTTAGAAAGAAAAACCCCCAAAGAAGATGGTTCTGTGTACATTGCTTGGTTCTTTCTCTCTTACAGCTATCGGAGGAAGGGGAGATCGTAGATCTGCTGTTGATGAAAATATTCAGTTTCCTGGGCATTAAGTGTAAGAGAGAGGAGCCTGAAAGCAGCAGGGAGCAGCCTGGGTCCCTGTCCCAGACTCGCCTCTCTCAACCAGCACAAGCTTTGCCCAAGGTCTAAGCTGTTCGTTCACACGCCACCGTCTATGAATGGGGACGCCCAGGGCCTCGGACCTGCACTTACCAGTAACTCTGTACTCTCTCTAGGTCGTAGCTTTTGTGTCCATTGAAGAATTACCAAGCCCAGCAAGTAAAAAAAATTAGAATAACAGAGACATATATAAAATTGCCAATACTATGAGAGCTTCTTTGTTCAAATGTATTTCCTCTTATTAGGAATAAAACAAATATTACCTGGAGTTTGGAAAAACAATTTCCTCCACAGACTAATTATTTCGTCTTTTTGGTCCATTGGGGATTGCTTTTGAATGATTCTCGTTCAAGGCTTCTTAAACTGTCCGAGAGATGCTAATGGATGCTGTATTAGTTTCCCAGAACAAAGTATCACAAACTGAGTAGCTTAAAACAACAGAAATGTATTCTGTCCCGGCTCTGGAGCCTGGAAGTCTGCAATCAAGATGTTAGCAGTGGCCGGGCGCGGTGGCTCACGCCTATAATCCCTGCACTTTGGGAGGCTGAGGTGTGCGGATCACTTGAGGCCAGGAGTTTGAGAGCAGCCTGGCCAACATGGTGAAACCCTGTCTCTACTAAAAATACAAAAATTAGCCAGGTGTGGTGGTAGACACCTGTAGTCCCAGCTACTCAGGAGGCTGAGGCAGGAAAATCACTTGAACCTGGGAGGCGGAGGTTGCAGTGAGTCTAGGTGGCACCGCTGTACTCCAGCCTGGGTGACAGAGCAAGACTCTGTCTCACAAAAAAAGAAAAAAAAAGAGAAAGAAAAGAAGGAAAAAAGATGTTGGCAGTGCCATGCTCCCTCTGAGGGCTATAGAGAAGAATCCTTCTTGCCTCTTCCAGCTTTTGGGGTTGGCCAGCAAGCCTTGGTATCCCCCGGCTTCTAGATGCATCACTCCCAGATGGGAAGAAGCTTGCTGAGAGCCCGTGTTCCTTCTCCTCTTCTCAGGACAACGGCCATATTGGATTAGGGGCCCACCCTAGTCAAGGGTGACCTCATCTGAACTAATTATAATACATCTGCAGGGATCCTGTTGTCCAATATGGTCACATCTGAAGAACTGGGACTTAGGACTTTGGCATATCTCTTTAGGAGCCACAATTCAATCCAGAACAGGTGTCATTCCTCCAAAAATATCTCTGGGTCAAATAAATATGGGGAATACTGGGTTATAAAAGTTTTCTGTTTTTGTTTGTTTGTTCGTTTAAGATAGGATCTGACTCTGTTGCCCAGGCTGAAATGCAGTGGCATGATTTCAGCTCACTGCAACCTCTGCCTCCCGGGATCAAGTGATTCTTGTGCCTCAGCCTTCCCAGCATCTGGGACGACAGGCACACAAAACCATGTCTGGGTAATTTTTGCATTTTTTTGTACAGACGGGGTTTCACCATGTTAACCAGGCTGGTCTTGAACTCCTGGCCTCACCTGATCTGCCCACTAGGCCTCCCACAGTGCTGGGATTACAGGCGTGAGCAATTGCACCCAGTCTACCGTATTGTTATAAGAGGAAAAGATGTCTATCAGCTCAAAGAGATGAATGAGCCCCTCTCAAAACACCTGGAAGAAAAAAACCACCTGCAATTTTCCGGTGCTTATACTAAATGGGCAATGAGATGACCTTTAAAATCTCAAACCAGGAGGTTACAAAGATTATTAGGTTGAAACGGAAAAAAAAATTTGACTGTCTTCAATGCTTCTTACCAAAAAAAAGCACACCTCGTATTTTTTGGTGGAAGGGCCTGTTTGTAGCCCATATGTTGATGTTGATTGTTTTGATTTAATTTAATTTAACTTAATTTAGGAGAGCTAAGTAATTAAACATGAGGCCAAAGTACATAAGAAAGTGGCAGTCTTTTATTGCAAATATGCATACACTCTCAGACGAGGTTCTCTGGCCCTCTGGTGTAGGGGGCCAGGGAGGTCGCGCTGGCGCTCTCGGGTGATGTTCTCCGGTCCACGAATGTGGGGGGCCGAAGAAGTCACGCCGGCTCCTGCCGGCAGCGGACTTTTATGCATTGGTACTGGAAGGGGGAGGTCAGTGGGCAGGATAAGGGCGTGATAGGGGCGTCTCCATAGGCGTGGCCGGGTAAGTTTTGATCTCTTTGGATGGACATCACCTGGCGCATGCTCGGTTGATCTGCATCTTCCCAGGGTGGGCTGCATTTTCCCGTGCGCGGGAAAGTTGGTGAGGAAGAACCCGGAAGCAACATGGATTATGCCTTCTTGTTCACCTTCCTCCATCTTGTCCTTTCTCCTTCACCCAAACATTGATGTGTGATCTTTTTCTTTCCATCATGAGTTAGTGGAGCTGAGAATAAATATGTTAGGGTGTAAGCGGCTTGATGCTGCACTGGCTTGTAATGAAACAACAATAGAAAACAAAATCTTGACATTAGAGAAGATAGCCAAGATCTGTAGGGCAGCGTAGACCAGTGTGATCCAGTCAATGAAGGCAAGTGGAGCAGAGCTTAAGAGCAGTTGCTGGCCGGGCACAGTGGCTCATGCCTGTAATCCCAGCACTTTGGGAGGCCAAGGGGGCAGATCGCTTGAATACAGGAGTTCAAGACCACACTGGGCAACATAGCAAGACCCTGTCTCTACAAAGTTATTTTTTAAAAAAATTAGCTGAGCATGGTGCTGCACTCCTGTAGTCCCAGCTACTCAGGAGGCTAATGTGGGAGGATCATCTGAGCCTGAAAGGTAGAGGCTGCAGTGAGCTGTGATTGTGTCACCGCCCTCCAGCCTGGGCAACAGAAGGAGACCTCATCTCAAAAAATAAAAAAAAAGGCCAGGCACAGTGGGTCACGCCTGTAATCCCAGCACTTTGGGAGGTTGAGGCAGGCGGCTCATGAGGTCAGGAGTTTGAGAACAGCCTGGCCAACATAGTGAAACCCTGTCTCTATTAAAAATACAAAAATTAGCCGGGCATGGTGGCGTGTGCCTGTAGTTCCAGCCACTCAGGAGGCTGAGGCAGGAGAATCGCTTGAACCTGGGAGGCAGAGGTTGCAGTGAGCCAAGATCACGCCACTGCATTCCAGCTTGGGTGACAGAGCTAGACTTCGTCTCAAAAAAACAAAAAAGAGAACAATTGCTTTCTAATCAGCGTAGAGGCCAATGTCTACTACTGCTACCTAGGAGCTACTTAAGCCACAAAACGCCTCCCTGATCCCACTGCTGGGAAGTGCCTTAACCTCTGAGTCTCATCTATGAAATAAGCGTAACATCTGCCAGAAAGAGGTTTGGAGAGGATTAAAAAGATGTTGCATAGTGCCAGACACATAGCAAAGGCTCAGTAGATGGGAATGATTTGCTCAAAGAAAAGTGGGCATGACGGCCCTTGCAAGCCACTGCACAGATGTGGTGGCAACCGTAAGTTCATAGCAGGGCAGAAGCACAGTGCAACAACATATGGGCTCCCCAAACACACACACACACTCCACGGTGTGCACCCTGTGGTACTGTTTGAGGTGTTTGAACAAGAACAACTCCATCTTGAATATGGGCTGGGCAAAATGAGGCTGAGACCTGGTGGGCTGCATTCCCAGGAGGTTAGGCATTCTTTTTATTTTTTTTCTGAAGAAGTGTCTCGCTCTGTCACCCAATCTGGAGTGCAGTGGTGTGATCTTGGCTCACTGCAACCTCTGCCTCCCAGGCTCAAGTGATTCTCGTGCCTCAGCCTCCTGAGTAGCTGGGATTACAGGCACCTGCCACCACGCCTGGCTAAATTTTGGATTTGTAGTAGAGACGGGGTTTCTTCATGTTGGCCAGGTTTGGTCTCAAACTCCTGATCTCAAGTGATTCACCTGCCTCGCTTAGTCACAGGATGAGCTAGGGTTGGCACAAGATACAGGTCATAAAGGCCTTGCTGATAAAATAGGAAGCAGTAAAGAAGTCGGCCAAAACTCACCAAAACCAAGATGGCGACCTCTGGTGGGCTTCACTGCTCAGTATATGCTAATTATAATACATTAGCATGTTAAAACAACACTCCCACCAGCGTCATGACAGTTTACAAATGCCATGGCAACGTCCAGAAGTTACCCTATAGTCTAAAAAGTGGAGGAACCCTTAGTTCTAGGAAATCCCTGCCCCTTTTCTGGAGAATTCTTGAATAATCCACCCCTTGTTTAGCATAAAATCAAGAAATAACTATTAAGTATACTCAGTTGAGCAGCCATACTGCTGCTCTGTCTACGGAGAAGCCATTCTTTTTTTTCTTTACTTCTCTAATAAACGTGCTTTCACTTTATAGACTCGCCCCAAATTCTTTCTTGCATGAGGTCCCAGAGCCCTCTCTTGGGGTCTGGGTTGGGAGCCCTTTCTGGTAACAGTACTTAAAGGTGTGTGTGGAGCTTAAGGTGTTTTTCACAACAGTATTTATTTGCTGACTCATGGCCACTCTATAAAATCTGTGTTAAAGGTGAGGTCTTTCCCCGAACCTAATTTTTTTCTGACTTCTTGGATTGGGATGATGACTTCGGTTTTTCTCGGAAGGCTTTGGTCACACGGCTGGCTGATGAAACAAAGAGTTGTGCACACTGGGTCTCAGCTCTCTGCGTTTTGAATATTTCTGCATTAGTGACTGGCTTGGGTCCAGTCTCCACCAAGAAGCCACTTCTGACCCTTGGACAAGTCTTTATTCCTCTTTAAGTAAGCTTCTGGATTCTGCCGGTCCTGTTTGGGGTCCCTGGGACTCTTTGAGACAGGAACGATACAGAGTGGTTGCAGGAGAATAGAAACTTCCAGGCTGCAGTTCTACCTACCAAAAGGAAACTGCTGAAATAGCTACACAAGCTATGGGCTGATAAGACCCTGAAAAACCAGGGTGTGGGCTAAGCTGGCTAAAACCAACTGGACCCAACGTGGCGCTGGCTTTGACCTAGGCTTCACCTGGTACTCATTAACATACTAAGTCACACACCCACTGGCACCATGACAATTCCGGGAACACCCATATTTGGTGTAAAAAAGGGTGGTACCACAGTTCTGAGAAGTCTCCACCTTATTCCAGAAACCTTCGTGCATATCCATTTCTTAAAGAAACCCATAAAGACGGAAACCCCAAGCCCCGTTGTGTGGCCCTCTCTTGAGTCCGCCCTTTCTTGAGTGTGTACTTTCCAGTAAATCTCTGTACTTTCACGATTTTCCGACTTGTTCTTGAATTCCTTCGTGTGGTGGTGAAACTACCTTTGCAAAATTATGCCTGAGACAGTGAAACAGATCCAC